CAGCACGCACCTTAGTGACTGAGAAACCGATTTATGTTGTTTGGCCTCGCTTTCAGAAATACGTGCAAGGTATTACATTTTAACTGATAATCAAGATTTTTTTTTAAAATCTCAAACTGAAATCGTGAGAAAGATCGAAACACAAGCCCAAATAATAATCATGATGAATTAGTTGAAATTAGTTGAAATGGCTTACGCACAGAGAGATGGACAGCTACGAAAATGTATTCAGATTAATTCTAGTCATTTTATTTCCCTTTTTTTTTTGGGGGGGGGGGGGGGGGCTCAAGATTACATGTACTCGCGGATTAAACCTGTTTGTTATGCAGTAATAAATCATATTACGACCCCATCTGTATTTCTTGATGGTAGAAATGTATAAGTGACAGTATTGTGTAGCCCAGGCTGTGTACATTACAGCTTTTCATCATAGATTAATCATTGTGATCAATATTGTAAAAGCATTATTACATGTAGGTCATATACTGTAGGCTTTTTAATGTGTTAGAGCCGACTAGTTATCATTATTTCCATAAAAAACGTTATTCTGACTTTCTTGCATTTATAACTTTTGAACGTCACGGCATCATCCAATAAACCCAGAATCCTAAATGTACTGTACATGTGTACTTAATCGCCTTATCAATCAACATATCTTAATTATTCTCGCCATGTTCTTATTTCGGTTTTGAAGCATGCCTTTGTATTTTTTACTGTAACGGCTACTCGTTACTTGATTAGGCAAACTTGTTTTGGTAGCTGTAGGTATAAGGTTCGACACATATATATGCCTATTTTAAATTCATGTATGCCTATCCTAAGTTCGTCTCAAATGCATGCATTGACACTCACTAGTACTAATGCTACAGGTACCCCATTTAGTGGGTATAGTAACCTCTGAATGGCAATCCAAACTGACAAGGAGACCTTTATGCAGATTATTCGCCGTAGATTATCTTTTATTTTATGATTGCTATGGGCAATTCCCCCCTTTTATTTTAGTTATTCCAGTGTATACGGTAAAAACTTGAAATTTTCGTCGCTTAAAAGTTAATCAATATTTTAAATTGCGTAAATCCGACGAATTTTCAAAATTACGTTTCCCCGACTCCTGGGCATGACGAAATTGTCAAAACTCCCCACTAAATCCGCCACAGCAAAGGGGAGGGGGTTAAAATAATCGGTAATGACGATCTTCCGCGAACGAAGTCTACAAGTCCCTTGAACTAATATGAAAATTGCATTCTATTAATTCTTTCTTACATCGCGAACGCTCTCCTGCTGAATATATGAAAATTGCCTTTTCGTCTCGCTCGGATTGCGAACGATCTCCTGCCGAGGATCTTCCGCTAATATATAGGGCCTATATGAGCATACAATTATTTGTCTATGTAGATGTGATGATTATTTATTTGCTGAACAATATACATCTAGTTAATGTTTCTAATATAAAATAATATTAATATATTTATCTTAAGTCTAAATTCCATATAGATATCTTCAGTAGACTTTACATTTTGGCTGGAAAAGCGCAAGTCAACTTTCTTTCAAAAACATTTCGAAACAAAGTATTATTTAGAATCATTACATTCACAGCCTTTTTTTCGTGTGAAACTACCTGAAAAGCAACATAATCAACCCTGAATGTTATATTTATTTTTGATTTTCTTTCAGTTGTCCCCTTCTCCTTTGTAATGTTGATTTTGTTAATTTTTTTTCAATGGCAAATAAATGCTTGCACAGCTGTTTTAAGTAATATTAAGTAATTTTAGGTAATATTAACATAATTGCACAGAGCATGCACTAAGCCAAAGTCCAATTAAAATAAAATTTGGTTTGAATGTCCCTTATCAGTCAACAGTCACGGCATAATCATAGCAATTTTAACCAACAAAACTGATTTTGCCTCTCAAAAGACCAAAAATGGCAAAAAGGGTAGAATTATGGTTAATTTAATGAGAGTGAGATGTTGGTATGTGAAGTGATTTTTTTTCTGCTAGTGAATGGAGTGTGATTAAAAGGGCAGATTGTGCTAGGTGAGAAAAAGCACACTGGTGGTTGAGACTACGTGGTGAGTGATTATACTTTAGCTGTGCATTATGTTAACGGAAAAACAAATGATCAAGCCAGCACTTAATGAATGCAGGTCTGTGCCAAAGACTATGAAGCTTATTCAAAAATATTATATGACGCACCTTTGAAATCGCACTAAGTAATCAGTTCTCAGGGACGGAGCCAGGATTATTTGCAGGAGGGGAGGGGGGGCCGCGGATGCGAAGCTAACCCTCCCCCTCCCCACCCCCTCACCCCCCACTCCCCGCGGCGTTGGGTTCGGGGCCCGCTTAATTAAGGGAGGCGAACGGTGCCATTTGGTACGGTTTTAGAACTACATGTATGATTCAACTAGTCAAAATTCTAATTTCAAGAGGGGGATATTAGTGTGTTTTTTTTTCAAAAAACGATAAATTTTTGCAGTATGCGTACCCGACATGTTTACCTGAATGATTGTAAGTTGACATTGATTCATCAACTTTATATTGTGATTCAATTTTTTTTAGGTAAATGTATTTTTTTTGCCTTATCCCATAAAATATTAAATTTCATAGTTATTAAACCAATATCAGCTTTCAATATTTTTTGCCTGTACAAACACATGTTTATTAACATTTGACGCCCAGAAAAAAAAAACAATAAATGAATAAAAGCATCTTGTTTAGACAAAGTTTGTAAAATCTGCAAGTGTTAATTTATAATTGGGGTTTCTGCATTCTCATGTCTATATCCCCCTCTCCTCTTCACCCTCTGACTATTCCGGGTGCGAATCTGTTGTAAGGCACGTGTACCAGTAGTTCCCTCACATTTCATACAACATAAAGATGAGTAGCTAGATAATTTATTTCAATAATGAATGTGAGCAGAGACTACAAAATAATTATAAACATGTTTGACACATAATTTCATTTCCGTTCGTGACTCCCGGGTTGGCTAACTAGCCAAGATAAATAGTACACGTTAAAGTTTCCATTTATCTATAACGGGGACTTCCTCGCGTATACATTTTGTCTTGGAAAAACACCGTCCCCGCATCGTCTCCCCCTCTCCTCCTCCCAAAACATTGTGGAACAGCGATAAGCATAACCGCGCGCGTATTTGTGTTTGAATCGTTCTCCTGCTCCCCTCCCCTCGGTTGTTTTTAAGGCCCGTCACATTTATTTCGATTATATCATTTAATCATGTTATAAAATAGAACTTTGCTGACCGAGCTCAAAAATGCGGCAATGCAAATATGGCTAACGATGGCAATCTCAAAACATTGTCGTTTTGCACAAAACTACCCTGTCGCTATCAGGAGTACAGTTTTCAATATCTTTTTACTTAACAGTACAAATAAGATTTAAAATTAAATTAGATTTAAACACTGACTGGGAAGTGCACAGTATTTTATATGCATAAAATATCTCAGTGACTAACACTAAAACAAAAATATTGTCTTTCTTATTATCCCCACAATATTTTTGCTGTATCAGTAGTCGGTCTCTCTTGACTATTGTGTAAACATTCAGTTTATTTGCCTGTAACAGGTGTCGGGGGTGTGGGGATATCAGTGCATTCCACGCCAACATCTTCGCTGTGGCTGCAGTTCTCTATGCCCCAACCATTGTGCTTACACATCCTTATGTGATTTTCGTTCCCCACGCATTGTAAATTATCAATCCATATCTTGCCGATGCCTTGTCCGAATCGGGTCACAATTGGGGATAGGTTCGGATACCCTAGCTGTCTGCACACAACCATAGCATCATTTACGTCAAACACGTCATCGCAGACAGTCCCCCATTCACCGTTGTAGAAAACCTCCACTCTACCCTCATGCCGATGGCCTCCATTCACCAAACGAATGGGCACTGAAGCAAAATTGGTCAATAATTAATTCTGAGTATAGAAAAAGTACCAGCAGCAGTAACTTTAATGGGATTTTGAAGAGGTCATTTAAGAGTAACTCTATTTCTCATGACTTAACAGGACCGTAGCCAGCAATTTCAAAAGGGGGGTTCTATTTTTCTGAAAAAGTGGACCTTTTACCACGAAACCTTATTAATATACCTACCGGTAGATAAAATTTTATCAAGAGTGGACCTTTTCCCCCACAAAAGGAAGGGGTCTTTTCGAACCCACGGAACCCCCCGGGCTACGGGCCTGCTTAATTTTTTTACTTTAATTCATTTTTTTTATCATTTTTTCATACGATGTGAGTTGTTTATACCAATGTCATCCTCAGAATAATGCGGCAAAGTACAGATTGTTTAAGCTACATGGCAAAGTCTTAAGTTTGTGCTCGCTTCCAAACTGATGAGGAAAGAACACACTTTATTGAAAACTATTTAGAACAATTAAAAAAGTGCGTAAAGCAACGTAATTAATTGCATTTTTCTACAAAAAATAAGCGTGAATGGTGAATTTTAAAAGTAACGCACCTACAAGCATTTGATTCAGACTATTGGATGTTTGTTGCACCAACTTGAGCTGCTGCTGTAATTGCAGCTCAAGGCTCTGCATTTCGCTCCTCAGCAGTGCCCTCTCTTTTTGCGAGGAATCCTTCAGCTGTTGCAGCTGCTGCTTCAGTGTTGCTACCTGGTTAGTTAGCGCCACCTTTTCTGCTTGGGTAGAGGCTACGGATTGTATCCCATTGTTTACTTTCTGTTGAACGTCATGAAGAGTTTTATTGAAGCTGTTATCGGATTGCCGTAGCTTTTTAACTTCAGCAGTCAGGCTTGCATCCTTGATTCTGGCAGTGAACATCTCTTTACTTAGTACACCTAACCAGGCTTTTACCCATGCCGCCAAGCCATCGGCGCCAATGTAGTTGTTAACTTTCTGCGTTGGGAGAGGATATGTTGGACTCGGCGTTACAACTTTTTGAGCGTTTAAAACACTCAACATGGTAACCGCTACCGCAAAAATTACGTTCCACGTCATTTTAAATAACCCAAGCNTATTTACCGATTTCTTTGTAAACTTATATAGTGTTCAAATTTGTATAAAAGAAGCTTCCGGCAGAATTACTTCCCCACAGTGCTAGCGCTACTACTCTACCGGGGAGATTTCCCTTGGTGAATGCGATACAAAAAGCATAATTCTTATACTGCAAATCTTACTGTGAATTTAGATTCCGAACTTATACTAACTGTACGGCGCACATATTCTCTAAATACACAGCAAATGATAACTCCCTTTCCGGGATGTCACTTTTAAATATATTGTTATAGTTGAGGTCCCTTGGTAAGTGTGTAAACATTCAACGCTATCATGCTGGTGTGGGTTACGCCTTGGGGGAACTCGTCGTTCTGGCAACCGGCCTGGTGGAACCCGTGCAGGCCACACCAACATCTTCATGATGACCACAGTTGTGTTTACCCCAAACACTGTGCCTACAAAATGCAATTTTATCTTCAGTCCCTGCGCATCCTACGTCATCTAGCCATATCTTGCCCGTACCTTGTCCGAATTTGGCTCTTTGGTACACGATTGGTTTGGAGGTCGGGTACCCCAGCTGTCTGCAGACGACCCCAGCATCTCTGTAGTCAAAACTGTCATCGCAGACTGTTCCCCATTCTCCGTTGTAGAAGATTTCCACTCTACCCTCTCGCGAATTAGGTCCATTTGCCAAACGTATGGGCCCTGAAACAAAGTTCTTCTACACTTAATTTTGAGTTAATAAATTGGACTGGTAGCAGCTAATGTAATTAAAATGGGAATTTTCAAGGGTCAAATCTATTTTTCATAACTTTTACACCGTTCTTTTCATAAATGCTTTTTTTTACAGTACCAAATTAATATACAATCTTACAATTTGGCTTATGAATCACACACAAACACACACACTCATCCACTTATATACTTGTTCTCTCTCTTAGTATAAAAAAGGCTGTACAATTACAGTACTGCATATAAGGGTAGAAATAGAGATTGACAATTCATGTTATTAACCTTAAAATTGAAATACTAAGAGGTATATCCTTAGCTGATTGCTTTTCAATTAAGTTGTAATATGTGATCAATATTTTCCCATTTTCTTTTAACATGTTGTTGTTTTTTGTCGGTATACATATATAAAGAATATAAACAAATATTTCTGTAGTATTAAGCATATTGTCTAGTTTCTTCCCACGTTGGGATTTCTGTTCTCGTTCTACATATACTAACATATTTTTTAATTATTATGATAAATAAATAAAAACCTTTTATATCATAGGCTTGCACAAGCCCCTTTCATAAATACTTGTATTTAACATATTTATATATATATTTCTCTTGAAATACAGATATTTCCATGCAGTATTCAAATACACGATGAAACCCCTAGTGTTCTTGCTTTCGACTTAATCTGGAATCAATTGACGCTTACAAAATGGTATTAGTTTTCTAAAAACAAACAAAGAAGAAAAAATACAGGAGAATTAACTCAGCTTTAACTCAGAACAGAATTATATTTTTTTCATCAAAATGCAAACGTACTCAGCGAATGCTGAAATTTAAAAGCAACGCACCTGCGACTATTTGACTTAAACTTTCGGATGTTTGTTTCACCAGTGTGGACTGCTGCTGTAATTGCAGCTCAAGGCTCTGCACTTTGTTCGTCAGCAATGTCCTCTCTCTTTGTGAAGAATCTTTCAACTGTTGCAGCTGCTGCTTCAGTGTTGTCACCTGGTTTGTTAGCGCCACCTTTTCTGCTTGGGTAGAGCCGACGGATTGTATCCCATTGTTTACTTTCTGTTGAACGTCATGAAGAGTTTTATTGAAGCTGTTATCGGATTGCCGTAGCTTTTTAACTTCAGCAGTCAGGCTTGCATCCTTGATTCTGGCAGTGAACATCTCTTTACTTAGTACACCTAACCAGGCTTTTACCCATGCCGCCAAGCCATCGGCGCCAATGTAGTTGTTAACTTTCTGCGTTGGGAGAGGATATGTTGGACTCGGCGTTACAACTTTTTGAGCGTTTAAAACACTCAACATGGTAACCGCTACCGCAAAAATTACGTTCCACGTCATTTTAAATAACCCAAGCGGAATCAATCTAGAAAATACTAGCTTGACGTCAAAGATGATCCACATACGGTACGTATGGAAATGTAATAAAATACTATATCATGAATCTTTATAGCCAAAGACGTCATGTACCCCTAAGACACCAACTGTAGGTCAACGGTGTTGTCTTTTATCTTATAATCCAAAATTAATTTTGTTGTCTATCCAAGGATAAGTCGCGTGTGTATGGAATTTCCACACAGTGCCGACACATTTCAAATACCATGTTTATGTTTTCATAGTTATGCAGTTAGTGCATGATTGGCTCTTGATAAACTACGAACTGCAACATGTCTGTTAGATCGTCTGCCAAACTCACCCTGAGTTTCTTATATCACAGGACACCTTGCTTTCCGAAGCATGTAGGTATTACATTTTAGTGTCCAGCCATCCCCGAAACTCAGGGTGATAAAAACGGGATGCAGCGCGCACCCTAGTGACTGAGAAACCGATTTATGTTGTTTGGCCTCGCTTTCAGAAATACGTGCAAGGTATTACATTTTAACTGATAATCCAGAAATTAATTTCATTCGTTTATTTATGTTGGGTTATTCTTTTTTTATCTCAAACTGAAATCGTGAGAAAGATCGAAACACAAGCCCAAATGATCATGATGAATTAGTTGAAATAAGTTGAAATGGCTTACGCACAGAGAGATGGACAGCTACGAATATGTATTCAGATTAATTCTAGTCATTTTGTTATTAGTTTTTTTTTTTGGGGGGGGGGGGGCAAGATTACTCGCTGACTAAACCTGTTTGTTATGGAGTAATAAACATATTACGACCCTATCTGTATTTCTCCATGTTAGAAATGTATAACTGACAGTATTGTGTAGCCCAGGCTGTGTACATAACAGGTTTTCATCATAGATTAACCATTGTGATCAATTTTGTAAAAGCATTGAAGATTATGAAGATTATTCAAAAATATTATATGACGACCCGAATTTCTTTGAAATCGCACTAAGATTCCTTTGAAATCGCACTAAGTAATCAGTTCTCAGGGACGGATCCAGGATTATTTGAAGGAGGGGAGGAGGGGGGTCCGCAGATGCGAAGCTAACCCTCCCCCCCCTTCCCCCCGCGGCGTTGGGTTCGGGGCCCGCTAAAGGGCATTTTAGAGGGCGAACGGTGCCTTGGGTACGGTTTTACATGTAGAACTATGATTCAACTAGTCAAAATTCTAATTTTAAGAGGGGAATATTAGTGTGATTTTTTTTTTGCAGTATGCGTGCCCGATATGTTTACCTGTATGATTGTAAGTTGACACTGATTCATCAACTTCATATTGTGATTCAATTTTTTTAGGTAAATTTTTTTTGCCTTATTCCATAAAATATTAAATTTCATATTTATTAAACCAATATCAGCTTTTAATATTTTTTGCCTGTACAAACACATGTTTATTAACATTTGACGCCCAGAAAAAAAATCAAGAGATGAATAAAAAAACATCTTGTTTAGACAAAGTTTGTAAAATCTGCACGTGTTTATTTATCATTGGCGTTTTTGCATTCTCATGTCTATATCCCCCTCTCCTCTTCACCCTCTGACTGTTTCGAGTGCGGATTTGTTGTAAGGCACGTGTACCAGTAGTTCCCTCACATTTCATACAACATAAAGATGAGTAGCTAGATAATTTATTTCAATCATGAATGTGAGCAGAGACTACAAAATAATTATAAACACGTTTGGCACATGATTCTATTTCCGTTCGTGACTCCCGTGTTGGCTTAGCCAAGATAAATAGTACACGTTTAAGTTTCCATTTATCTGTAACGGGGACTTTCTCGCGCATACATTTTGTCTTGGAACAGCTGGCTACACAGCACCGTACCCGCATCGCCCCTCCTCCCCCCCCCCCGGTCCCCCCGAAACATTGTGGAACCGCAATAAGCATTTTAACCGCGCGCGTATTTGTGTAGCGCAGGCTTACATTTTGAATCATTCTCATGCTCCCTCGCTTTTTTTAAAAACCCTGTCACATTTATTTCGATTATATTATTTAATCATGTTATAAAATAGAACTTTGCTGACCGAGCTCAAATATCGCTGCTTTCCGTTCTCGTTAACAGCAATATCGACATACGAATACCTAGACAAAAATACACCTATGTACACATGGACTGCGGAGTTATGCAACACTGCATGCGGTAGTGAAAATATGGCCAACGGTGGCAATCTCAAAACATTGTCGTTTTGCGCAAAACAACACTGTCGCTATAAGGAGTACAGTTTTTAATATCTTTTTACTTTTTACAGTACAAATAAGATTTAAAATTTAAACACTCACCGGAAAGTGCACAGTATTTTAAATTCTTAAAATATCTTAGTGACTAACATTAAAACAAAAATATTGTGTTTCTCATTCTTCCCTTCTCCCCACAACATTTTTGCTGTACCAGTAGTTGGTCTCCCTTGAATGATGTGTAAACATTCAGTTTATTTGCCTCGATTGGGTATGGGCCCGGATCCCAAATCAGTGCATGCCACGCCAATATCTTTTCTGTGACTGCAGTTCTCTATGCCCCAACCATTGTGCTTACAGAACCTAATGTGATTTTCGTTCCCAGCGCATTGTAAATCATCAATCCATATTTTACCGGTACCTGATCCGAATCGTTGCACGCGTATGATGTTGCCATTATACCCTAGTTGCCTGCACACAACCTTAGCATCATTGACGTCAAACATGTCATCGCAGACAGTTCCCCATTCACCGTTGAAGAAAACCTCCAATCTGCCCTGAAGCGGAGATCCACCATTCACCAAACGTATGGGCACTGAAGCAAAATTGGTCAATAATTAATTCTGAGTATAGAAAAAGTACCAGCAGCAGTAGATTTAATGGGATTTTGAAAATGTCATTTAAGAGTAAATTTATTTCTCATGACTTAACAGGACCGTAGCCAGCAATTTCAAAAGGGGGGTTCTATTTTTCTGAAAAAGTGGACCTTTTACCATGAAACCTTATTAACGTACCTAGATAAAATTTTATCCAGAGTGGACCTTTTCCCCCACAAAAAGAGGGGGTCTTTTCGAACCCATGGAACCCCCTGGCTACGGGCCTGCTTAATTTTTTTTACTTTAATTCATTTTTTAATCATTTTGTGCGTTGTTTATACCAATGTAATTCTCAGAATAATGCGGCAAAGAACAGATTGTTTAAGCTACATGGCAAAGTCCTAAGTTTGTGCTCGCTTCCAAACTGATGTGGAAAGAACACACTTTATTGAAAACTATTTAGAACAATTAAAAAAAAGCGCGTAAAGCAACGTAATTAAATGCATTTTTCTACAAAAAATAAGCGTGAATGGTGAATTTTAAAAGTAACGCACCTACAAGCATTTGATTCAGACTATTGGATGTTTGTTGCACCAACTTGAGCTGCTGCTGTAATTGCAGCTCAAGGCTCTGCATTTCGCTCCTCAGCAGTGCCCTCTCTTTTTGTGAGGAATCCTTCAGCTGTTGCAGCTGCTGCTTCAGTGTTGCTACCTGGTTAGTTAGCGCCACCTTTTCTGCTTGGGTAGAGGCGACGGATTGTATCCCATTGTTTACTTTCTGTTGAACGTCATGTAGAGTTTTATTGAAGCTGTTATCAGATCGCTGTAGCTCTTCAACTTCAGCAGTAAGGTTTTCATCCTTGATTCTGGCAGTGTATATCTCTTGGCTTAGTACGCCCAGCCAGCTTTTTATCCAAGCCGCTAAGCCATCGGCGCCAATGTAGTTGTTAACTTTCTGCGTTGGGAGAGGATACGTTGAATTCGTCATCACATCTTTCTGGGCGTTTAAAACACCCAGCATGGTAACCGCTACCGCACAAAATAGGTTTCTCGTCATTTTAAATAAGCGGAGCTGGATTAAACTCCAAAGTACTTGACTTTAAAGGTGATTCGCACAAGTGCGGAATTATGATAAAATTGGATATCATGCACCTTTATAGCCTAACCTAAGACGCCATGTACCTGTAGGACCCCGCCTATAAGACTATGCGCGCGGTGTTCTCTTTTATCTGGCAACCCACAAGCTATTTTGGTGCCTTGTTAAGGATAAGTAGCGTGTGTATGAGATGTCCACACAGTGCTATGCATTTTAAATGCCATGTTTACAGTTTTATATTTTTCCATGATTGGCTTTTGATACAATACAAGCTGCATCATGTCTGTGAGTCATCTGTCAAATTCACCCTTAATTTCATATATCACAGGACACCCTGTCTTCCGAAGCATGTAGGTATTACATTTTAGTGTCCAGCCATCCCTGAAACTCAGGATGATAAAAACTGGATACAGCCCGCACCTTAGTGACTGAGAAATTGATTTATGTTGTTTGGCCTCGGTTTGAAAAATACGTACAATGTATTACAAATTATTTTATCTGATAATCCAGAAATTGATTTCATTCTTCTATTTATAATCTATCTCAAACTGAAAACGTGAGAAAGATCGAAACACAAGCCCCAATAAACAATCACGATGAATTAGTTTATTATAGAAATCGCTTACTCACAGTGAGATGGACAGCGACGAAAATGTTTTCAGGTTAATTCTAGGCATTCTGTTTTCTTTCTTTCTTTCTTTCTTTCTTTCTTTCTTTCTTTCTTTCTTTTTTTTTTTTTTTTTGGGGGGGGGGGGGGGAATCAATTTTNTGAAAACACGAGAAAGATCGAAACACAAGCCCAAAATTTAATAACAATCATGATGAATTTGTTTACTTATTGAAATAGCTTACGCAAAGAGAGATGGACAGCTACGAAAATGAATTAAGATAAATTCTATTTAATCATTTTTATTTACTTTAATTGCGGTGTGGGGGGGGGGTCAAATTATTGCCGATGGGTGCCTTTACCTATAAGTTGCCTAGCGCAGATCACACGCGGATATTCCGCCAAGCGACGGTCACATTAAACTTGTTTGTTATGGGGAAATAAATCATAATTACGGCCCTATCTGTATTACTTGAAGTTAAAACTGACAGTATTGTGTAGCCCAGGCCTTGTAAAAGCTTTCGTAACAGATTAATCATTGTAATCAATATTGTTAAAGCATTATTACATGTAGGTCATATAGGCTTTTTAATGTGCTAGAACCTACAAGTACATGTAGGCCCTATAAAGATAATTATCATTGTTTCCATAAACAAATTTTATTCTTACTTTCTTGCATTTATAACTTTTAAACATCATAGAAAACATGGCATCCAATGATTCCAGAATCCAAAATGTACGCTACTTAATCTCCTTGTAAATAAACGTAGGCCTACATGTATCTTAGCTATTCTCGCCAATTTTCTTATTTTGATTTTGAAGCATGCCTTCGTATTTTTTTTATTGTAACGACCACTCGTTACTCGATTAATTAGACAAACCTGTTTTGGCAGTCGTAGGTATAAGCAGGGGCGGATCCAGAGATATTTTCTGACAGTCTTCCAAATTATTTTTGTTAATCCATCCTCCATTTTTGACCGTCTTCCGACAGAAAATATTAGATACCCGTCAATGTAAACTTTAAAATCTGACCGTCTTCCGGAAGACCCAGAAGACGGCCTAAATCCGCCCCTGATAAGATTCGTCATATGCCTATTTTAAATACATCTATGCATGTCCTAAGTACATGTGCGTCTCAAATGCATGCATTGACCCTAGTACTACATGTACATGTACATGTGCGTACTGGGAGTAGGCCTACTGGTGCTACCGGTGCCCCATTTGGTGGGTAAAGTTATCTATACATGGCAATCCAAGCTGATAAGGAGAACTTTATGCAGATTATTCGCTGTAGATTATCTTTTATTTTATGGTTGCTATTGGCATTTCCTCGCTCATTTTAGTTATTTCAGCGTATATACCAACAAAAATACTCTAAAAAGAACACAATGCTTTATCTTGTGTGTTCATCTCATCTACAGCAATGTGCAATATTGCGATGTGGCTTGTCTTGCGTGTAGCTCTTTGGTTTTTAGAGAACGATAAATTCTCCATTGAGGGCCGTGGGTGCAGGCCGTCTTCTAAAAGCAGGTGTGTTTTAGCTTTAAGTTTGACACCTTAAGACATATTTTTTTACTTAATAAGCTCCGTCAGTTAATATTGTCTCGTAATACACATTTCTGGTGCGGTGTAACCGTGAAACTTGATTGCACGTTCGGCAGTTGAGTTGCATTCACCACGTGCGCTAATAATACATGTAATTTATATCAGGCTTAAAATGTGAAAAAAAATACTTAAGTTAAATTGAACGAACTAAAAGCAGATTAAATGAACTGCAGTTGAGTAAAATATAATATAATTGGTAATTGTTTGTTAACTGCACAAACTTACTGGATTGTATTTTGGTATCCTTACACCTGTACATGTACATGTTTTTTCCTGTCTCCTTTCCACAGCTGTGTGGCATTCGTCTGGACAACGCATCTGTGCTACAACCAGGCCCCTACAACCAGGACAATGCTTAAATGCCCAAAGCTGCAAAATCTGCATAAAATCAGGCAGGTGGACGGAACTGTTCCCTTACACCAAGGAATCAATTATGTGAGCAGTAGGGGCATTTGTACACCCTTGCAGTCACACGGTGTAGCCCTATGCCAAGGCAGAATCATTTACTCATCAGGAACACCAGTTACAGCTTGTGGTCAGGGGAAGACAGAGCCAGTGAATAGCACCAGGAGGATTTGTACAACAGCAGGGTTGCCTTTTCACTTATGGAGAGCAGCGTTTCAGCCTTTTCCAATGACGCCACTCCTTCACAACACAAAGGTCAATATGAGGAAAAGCACATCACACCTTGAAAAGACATCACTGCTTTACCGAGCTCCCCCCATACAAGTGAACAACAGAAGTTTTAATACTACCACAACAAGGACAGAAAGCAAGGAAGATGACGTACCGCCTGTTCCATACGGGGCGAACTTGCAAAACACCATTAGCAACCATAAATGGATCAAGGATGACGGCTTGGACAAGAACAGGCACATTTTAATTTTCCACTCCACTGATTACAGGATGCTTCGTTACTGTGGACCCGTATCCGTAACAACTATGGTATTTTTGGCCTCTGCTTTTACTTATAAGTTCTCGGACTATTTGGTTGGGTTCCCACATAATATTGACGCTCTGGAACATCCAGCTGCCAAAGTAATAATGGTATGGGCCATAACTGTGCTTTACTGTGTGCCCATTGTCTTGTTTTCTTATATGCATCCATGGAGGTTATATTATGATCTTATTACTGGGAAGTATACTATCATTGCCCCTGGCATGCTGCTTGTCAATAAGACGAAGGTGGAGTGCTCGCTGAGTGAAATGTTCAGGCCTAAGTATTTAAAGAATATGGGGTTTAAAGTGAGGAATAGGATATACTTGTGGACAGATGGGGCGCCGATGAATGAAGTCATGATACAACAATTGATGATGACTGCCCAGGAAAACTCACTGCAGAAGAAGAATTCACCTAAGTAGGGAATTGATGTCTCTTCATTATGAATGGTGACAAATGTGTCTGCCTGAAAGTCTCAGACTTGATAATGTGCTGAAGGCAGTGTTAACAGCGTTATATACCAGATCCTAAGAGTTTGGATTATTGTAGTAAATTTGTGGTTTTGTTTGATCAAAAAAGCAAAATGCAAAAAAAAAATATATATATATATATATTATAATAACATATAAAAAATAAAAAAATGTGTTAAAAATAATGAATGTACAAAAATGTCATTTTAGTTACTGGGTATGAAAATGTGAAAATTAAGCGCCAAGTTTTCTTTTTTTTCCTTGCTGTAAAGAATGATGAGGGAGGCAGAGAGGGGAGTGCAAGTGATGCAATTTTTGGAATTATTTTAATGTGATGCAAACAAGCAGAATTGATTTTTTTCTTTTTAATTTTCTAAACCTTTTCGAGTCGAGACTAGTGCATCGAAAGGCAGGTTATGTTATACCCCAGCCTCTTTCATTGAGCAGTATGTGACAAAAGCGTTTTCAAATTTTGGTCTACTAGCACAGGCCCTTTGAGTGGTAAAAAGTCTGCAGGCACAAGACATACATACCCGGTATTCTTAGGGGGCCATCTCTGAATCGTGTTATTTTGACAAATCAGATTTAAACTACGCCATGAACTGACCCCCCCCCCAACATAAACACGCGCACACACACGCACACACAGGCACACACACGCACACACACACACACACACACAGACGGACACAAAAAACGCTATTTTTTTTTGCCATTCCTTCGAGTTTATACTTCTCAGACTGATTTTGTATGCTGCGCATTGACCAATCTTAGGCCTAAATATGTGACGCCAAGTATGTCAAGACCATTGACGATTCGATAGGAGATGGTTAATTTAATTATTTCTTGCAAATTAAATCCAATTATATTTAAAAAAAAATAACATCAAAAAGTATCACTCATTCCCGGATAAGTTCAACAAGAGGTTGTTTATTTTGTCACATTCAACAGAAAATGATATCTACATTCTATTAGTTAACTGCTGCATTATGAAGGCATATTTTATTACTGATCAATATGATATATTTGATCATTCTTTTGTAGACAAATATAGCGTTCAAAGATATATGAATATTTTTTAATCAAATCTTCATGAAAGGTCATTTTGTAATTACATCATTTTAAAGAGACTGCCACAACAACGCAACGACACGCTTAGTTAAAGATGAAAAATTATTGCGAAAACCACGTTCGATTTCGTTCTTCTGATTCTTGTTCTCTTTGACATTGACTTGGCTGTTTAATAATTCAATGATGCCCACAACTTGACTGGTGAGCAAAAAGGTTCATTAGCTTGGTTGTTGGATAAATATGAAAATTCTCAGACACAAGCCTAAAATTTTCCGTACCGTTAGCTTACGGCCAACCTGGTCGAAGGCCTTCATCAGACTGACGTGAGTAGTTGTTCACACTCACTGACCGCTAGGAGGTATAGCGGCCAGGACCCTCTTATAAATGTCAGGTATAATAAGGAAGACAAGACCTTGGAGAACAAGACACTAGATGAGGCTCTCTTGATGTGTGGTTACCCACCTTGGGCTCTAAAGACCAAACTTCGCCAGGATAAGACAGCAGTAACTAACTGTGAGCCAACAGATACAGTCGGAAAAAAACAGCTAGTGATCCTCCCTTATTGTAAAGGAATTTCAGAGAAAGTGTGCAGGATCTACAAGAAGCACAGTGTCAACACAGCTTTTAGACCTCAGTGCACATTGAAACAACACCTAGTGGCACCAAAGGACAAAACCCCCCAAGATCACCGTTGTGGGACAATATACAGGATCAATTGCCATGACTGTAATTCCTTTTACATTGGTGAGACAGGTAGACAGTTGAAGATCAGGGTGAGTGAACACAGGAAATCAGTGACTGTAGGCAATACCAGCTCTGCCATTTCTGAACATGTAATAGACACCGGCCACAGTATAGATTGGAATTCAACTAAGATTCTTGAATCTGAATCATCCGACATCCCGCGAAAAATACGAGAGGCTATCCACATCAGCCGACACCAGCCACCCATGAATAGGGACGGGGGGGTTGATCTACCTGACATTTATAAGAGGGTCCTGGCCGCTATACCATCTAGCGGTCAGTGAGTGTGAACAACTACTCACGTCAGTCTGATGAAGGCCTTCGACCAGGTTGGCCGTAAGCTAACGGTACGGAAAATTTTAGGCTTGTGTCTGAGAATTTTCATATTTAACTTGACTGGTGTTCAGATTACTGAAGGGTTTCATGATGATGTCTTTTTTACTAACATGATACACCGACATCTTCGGTGTGGAAACAGTCGTGTTTCCCCCAACCTCTGTTTGCACACGATTTTATGTCAAGTTCGCTACCCACGCAGTCTAAATCGTCCAGCCATATTGGGTCTGTTCCTTGTCCGAATCTGGCACTTGCGTACACAGTTGGATAGGCGGTCGGATACCCCAGCTGTCTGCAGACAACCCTAGCATCCTTGACGTCAAATCTGTCATCGCAGACTGTTCCCCATTGTCCCTTGTAGAAGACTTCAATTCTACCCTCACGCGAATGACTCCCATTTACCAAACGTATGCGCCCTGAAACGGTTCAAATACGCTTTATTTTGAGTTAATAAATTGCACTGGTGCAATGTGAAAGTGTAATTTAAACGGAAATTATAAAGGGTCATTTAAGAGTAACTGTGTTTATCGTGACTTTTAGAACGTTCTTTTCATAAATGCGTTCTTGTAAACTGTGTGTACTTATTTCTGCTGAAGTATATAGTTTTTAAACGTGCACGTTGAAGCCCCTTTAAGTGTGTTCTTGCATCCCTACTAATCTTATAGAACCGCCGCCTAATTTCTAATAAAAAAACTAGATCTAGTTTTCTAAAAAGAAAAAAAGGAAAATAATCAGAATTAATTCATATTTGCGAAGTAAAAATGAAAAATATCGAGGTGCAAACGCACTCAGCGAATGATAAATTTTAAAGTAACGCACCTGTAAGTAATTGATCAATAACGTTGGATGTTTGTTGCACCAACATGTGCTGCTGCTGCTCAAGGCTCTGAATTTTGTTCGTCAGCAATGTCCTTTCTCTTTTTGAGGAATCCTTCAACTGTTGCAGCTCTTGCTTCAGTGTTGCTACCTGGTTTGTTAGTGCTGCCTTTTCTGCTTGGATAGAAGCGTCGGTAAGAAGACTGTTTTTAACCATTTGTTCCACGCCCTGGAGGGTTTTATTGAAGCTATTGTCAGATCGCTGAACTTGTTGCATTTCGGAGACTAAAACGGTGTTTTAGTTCAACTTCAGCGGTCAGGTTCTCGTCCTTGATTCTGGCAGTGTAAATCTCTTGACTTCGTACGCCCAGCCAGGTTTTTACCCATGCCGCCAAGCCATCGGTGCCAATGTAGTTCTTAACGTTTTGCGTTGGTACTGGAAACGTCGGTTTCGTCGTTATATTATTCTGAGCGTTTAAAACGCTGAACATCATAACTGCTACCACAAAAACTAAGCTCTTCATTGTTTAAGAAACCGAAGCTTGGTCAAGCTCTAAAATGCTTATTTTCAGGGATGATTGGTATAAGTATGAAATTATGACACTGATCGGACTCGATGAAATCCCATGTATAAATTCTCATGGCGGTATGCCCAACCCTTGTTTGACTTTTGATGAACCACGAGACTAACAGATTTCTGTGTGTCGTCTGTAAAACCCACCCTGAATTTCAGAAGTAACTAAATAATCTCCAATCTGTCCCTGCCGAAACACGTTGATAACTTAAATAGTTTATCAATCAGCCCTGAAACCCAGGGTGACGAATTCGAAATACTTTCAGTCTAGGCAGCCATGGGCACGACATAAAACCTCCTTTGTGCACGGTGTCATCTTTTATCTCATACACTCTAACCCAGAAATAATTTTTTCATCTGTTTATTTATCTCAGGCAGTAAACGTGGGAAAGACTGAAACGTCACACCAAATAACGATTGTGGCGCATTATTAACAAAACGAATAAGTAAGTACATCAGATTAAAATTAGATATGCACAATAAGATGAACAGTTATATGAACCAAAGAGTTAGAATTCACATTAATTATGTAAATTCTCTTTCTATTGCTGTCGCCAAAAATGGCCGGTTGGCGTCTTCACATTATACCTATTATGGAAGTTAATGTCCGAGTTAGATTCTTAGCTCGGATAGCATCTCACTGTACTTTCTTCCGATCATATTATTGCTGATCTAATTTTACCGATCGCTAGGCCCATATGTTTGTAACTATATGTATTCGTATATGTTTGTAATTGCCTATTTCTTAAACTCATATAGCGCACCAATATATGTGAATATCGCTGAAAATTTCATCTTCGGCAAGATGCTTAATTATGCAATTGCATCAGATTTTTTTTCACAGCAGTTACCGCAAAAAAAAAATATTAATAATAATAATAAATGAAAAATAATAAATAAATAAATAAATAAATAAATAAATAAATAAATAATACACCGCTATTTCCAAACTCGAAAATCACATTTGCCACGGATTGTCTGATCCCGTTGATATTGCTAGTCTGCTGTCGCTGAAGCGTGGTGTCCATATTGCTGTGATGCAACAGCCATTTCATGATGGTGAAATCTTTTCACTGACGTGTTGCACTTACTTCCCCGCCGTGGTTTGAGTCTTCTATGCTTCACCCTGGTGTAACAGGAATGGTAGTCCTGGGAATAGAAGTTCGGGCTCCCATATGATTAATACAGGTAAGGATTAGTCGGAGTATTGGGGTAAGTATATGGGGTGAAAGACACCTGTATATTCCCAAACTCCCAAAAGCTCAAATAACCATAAAACAGGGCCAAAAATCCTCGTCTTTTTATTTCTTCAAACATCCGTAGCTGATATAAAAAGTATGGGGAGCGGACTACGGTTCCTAGCGGACTGCCAATCCTGTCACATCGGCCCCACGGTAATAGGCCTGCAGCCTTCCATTGTATTCGGTCATAGCACACTGTAGATATAAATCATGTACCTTGTCCGATATGTTTTCATTTACAAAAGTTGTCCTAAGAACAACACGCTAGAATATTAAAGCTAAAATATATAGATTGAATCCATCCACGTGCATGCTTATTTCGGAGCTGAGGTGTGACCATTTTTTTTTTCTTACAAAAAAAAGAAAAAAAAAGGACAAGGCTTTTATAATAATAATAATAATAATAATAATAATAATAATAATAATAATAATAATTTATTGAGCACATGAAATGAGTGTACATTTATAGGCTCTCTACACTACTAATTATAATATACTTAAGTTTAAATACATGTACATAGTAATAATAAAGTTACAGGTGTTATCTCAATTTAGATAGCTTCCGTTTTCTCATAGCACTGTGTATAAACTTTACAAGTGCGGACACACCTCTCTCATTTGACACATTTAATAGGGCGGATAGTGTATCGTCTGCTAGACCCTGCACATTTACCTCTGGTAAGGCAGCAAATAATGTTTCTCTGTCTAGTTTATAAGTAGTACACTCAAGAAAAAAGTGAGCTTCATCTTCCACTGCATTACAGTGAGGACACTTTCTGTCCTCAATTTTTGTTTTGGGGTGGGTATATCTGCCTCTTTCAATCTCTAACTCGTGGTCACTGACCCTCATTTTGGCTAGAA